GAAAAGTAGGCCCTAATCATGATTTTATTATGAAATGATTTTTCCCCAAAATCATGTAGAATTGCCCCCAACAAATAATCAACAATTATAAACTTCTGTATGTATAGTCTATTGTGGACGTACTAAAATAGAACACCCTTATCAGTCCAAGAACCCTGGGAAAATGGACACCAGCAACTTTTAAGAGTGGAATTAGTCTATCTATCAGAATGTACAAGGTAGATTCCAGGAGATTCTTGAAGAATCCAGGAATATTAAAACATCACTATATCAACAATAGAAATTATCCATACCCTTGATTTTTCACCTTTGTCTTGTCTTTTGCCTCCTGAAGATTCAAACATGATTACAGATTTTAAAGGAAGAATTATTTCTGGGAAGTTGGAAACATACTCACAAATACTCTGCTGATGGCTTAAATCTAAGGATTTAAAGATTCAGCAAAGTTGGCATTGCCTCTAGATAGTTGGAGCTGACCCAAAGACAAGGTGCTATTAGGCAAGGTCTTGTAAAGAATGGATCAACCGGCAGCAGCAAGCTGTCCCAGTGTTATTTTCCTGAATGCACAATCAGTTTAACAAGCCTTCTGCAGAGCTCTCCAAGCTGAGAGCTAATTCAGGTGTCTTCTTTAGGATAGCGATTCATGTGACATTTCCTAATCTATGCATTTAGTACATCCCTAGCTTGGTCTAACCCACCTTTGCACACATCTTTTCAACTATGTTTAACTTTCTAAAGAAAATATCCTGGCTTTATTTAAATGGCTTTGGACACATTGTCTTTCTCTCCAGAATGCATTTCCTGTAGGGTTCTGCTGCCAAAAACCTGTCCCACCTTAAATGTTCAATTTGTATGTTACTGTCTCCAAGAAGCTCTGACTCCTGATTACCTCAACAGCTGAAAGTACTCCCTGACCTCTCTCCACTTCTATAAACTGCATTTTGGGAACCTTTCATTTCCTAGTATATTCTAAGCTATATAGAAACAGAAAGTATATTTAATTGTTATCTCTATGCCCCTCTAGGCAAAAATACATCATACTTGCTCCACAGATTAATGTTGAGTAGAATAGGTGTGCCATAGTGTTAGTAAGGAAAGGAGCTAGAAAAGCCATATATGACCCGTTCATTTATGTTTTTTCTTCCTCTGGATTATGAACAGGGAATAAGTTTTTGCAGTGAAAAATGAAAGAAATGATGCATTATATATAATATTTGAATTTTGGAGATGATTGAGGACCAAGAGAAGGCTGAGAAATCAAAATAATCTCAGAGATCTTTTACCTTCAACCAAATCCAAATATTTAACATAATGAGATCTTCAAAGGAGGATTTCTTAATACATAGGAACTGGTGGTACTACGGTAAGATGATTCACTTTCTAATCGTTTAGTCAAACTTTCAATCAAATAGTTAAGCACTTCTAAAGAAATTTTTTTTTCTAAACTCTTTATCCTAAAATATTTTTGTTTTGTATGCCTCCTGATACAAATCACACATTTTACGAACTTTAAAACTCCCTGAGGGTTGCATCTAACAAATGTTGATAGCTTCCTTATGGGTTTATGAAAGTTGTTTGCCAATTTTTTACCTAATAAAATTATCAAGTAAGTCTCCACTAATTCCACAAGTAATCTATAATATGTGGGCATGTAAGGATTATTTTAATAAATAAATGAGAAAGATAACATGATATTTAGCTAATATGGAGATAAAGTTATGGAATGAAGGTGAAAATAAGAAAATAACCACATGAATGATAATAAACACTATACAGTGTTTAATTAGCACTATTAACAAAAAGCTATACCTGGAAATCAGGCTTTTAAAGGAAAAAGTAAATGTTCAAAATTCTTGTCTCAAAGTGAATTGCTAGATTTAAAACAGTCTTTAACCTGAAGAGATAAGGAAGAATAATATCAAACTATGATTTAACACTGTTCAAGAAGTAGTGTAGAGATATTTAGCAGAACAATGTAATGAATGACTATTACATATACTTTAGATTACCAAAATATAAAGAACTAGCATTAAAGGGACATTAAAATTTATTATTGGAGCTCTTGAGGATAAGTTTGGTTTTTTTGTGAGTGGTGGGTGATAGGTACTAAACAAATTTTTAGTTGGTTCAATTCAGATAGAATCAGTCCAACTTCACTTTTGACTAACCACCCTACAAATGACTTGGATAACAACTGCAGTCTTTTTCAGCTGATCACTGAATTAATAATATAATTTCTCCTATATGTGTGAAGCAAGTCAAAATCTGTTATTTCTTCATTAGCTATAATAGCATTGTTTAAATTCCTTTCCTCTTTATTCTTTGATACTGGTTTTGAAATTACTAATTCTCTTGCCTTTTTATATGTATATTATTTCATATGTGTGGATGTACTTTTATATATTACTAGATTTTTATGATTTTTTAAAGAAGTTAATTACTAATATCCTATTACATTACCAAATGCCAAATTTATTGTATAAAGGAATTCAATAAAGTCTATATGATTGCTTTCAAATGAGGATATATCAAGTTCTCAAGAAAATACTTCTGTTCCATAGTATTTTTTAATAGAGCATAGCACCAGTGTCTTGAAACATTTTATAGATGGTAATGAAAACATAGGCACAGTTCTTATGATGTCTTTCCATTTTCTTGGAGACCACAAGACTTCTTCTCTATTTTTCTAATTATAATAATGAGCCCTTAACATAAAGATGATCTACTCTAAAGGATTTATGTGAATATCAACTTAAAAGGGAAAGGAAGGTCCTAGAGAGGTAAAATGTTAAATATGGCAAGATTTCAGAATTCAGAAAATCTCAGGCAAGAAGCAAAGATAGAAATTTTGTTCAGGTCTGGGTATCAGGTTTTGTAGTTAATTGCCCTTTGGATCAGTCCAGTGACCTATTTAAGTTCACCATCTTTAATTGTGTAACACTTTGATAATTTTTGAAAATGTTTTGTGAATTGAAAAGTTTTCTAAAGCTAGAATTTATAGTATAAATTTAGGTTTGTTCAATTATTCTACTAGTTGACCAGGATGTCAACTAGTGCACAGGAAAGGAAGTACAATTTTCATATAAGCTTCCCTGCATGTCAGTTATTTAGAAAAAATATAATGATTTGTATAAGGTGAGCAAAGTAAGTATCTTAGATTTGCTGTTTTACAATCTTCAAAAAATATTGTGAAATGGGCCAGGGATTTAGCTCAGTGGTTCTGCCGCCTGCCTCACAAGGTCCCAAGTTCAATCCCTGGTACCAAATATATATATATATATA